TTAGCTTGGCTGCTGTCTGCTCATATGGTTGTTTATCTTTGGCTGATTGTTCAGACCACATTTCACCCAGTTTTTTTGCAGTATCCCCAATGGATAGGCCCGGGTGTTCACTTTTGATCTTTGGGCGATGTTCAGAGCAAAACAGGAAGAAGGCAGATGGTGGCCTTTTAGGGACATTGGGATCCTTTTTCTTTCCTTTCTTGTCACCCTTGGGAGGCACGTAATTTTTCATCTCCCTGTCATAGCGAGCCTTGTCACTTCTTGCCATATCTTCAAACTTCGACTTTTCCTTTGCAGACATGGTCTTCCATATCTCGGAGCACTTCTTGGAGAACTCGGCGAAGTTGACGGACGAGTCGGGGTGTTTCTTCTTGTGCTCTTCCCGGCACGTCTGCACGAAGAAGGCATACGAGGACATCTTGCCCCGCGGCTTGTTGGGGTCTCCTTTACCCATCGTGAGGCTCGGTGCCTGGTACGAGTCAAAAACCTTTTCCTCAAAGTCGTGCGAAGCGGCCGGATCCTACTGAGACGCTTCCTCCCAAGGGCTCCGGCGTGAACTGGTTTCTAGCTAACGCAATCCTCAGCCTCTTGTTTTGCCCAGACAACAGACTCTTGATGCACAACACTTGGAGAGCTGGTGAATCAAATTGAAAACCCCACGAACTGGAGGCCAGATGTGCTGAACCAGATGCAAGAGCCAGTGCAAGAAAAAGAGCTTAGCAGTCACTTATATTGGACTCAGACTATGTCCCCAAAGAAAACTATAGGTGGCTACCTGAGTCATAGCCACTAGTAAGGTGGGAGCATCCTTAATCCTTATTTCCCCCTTAAACCTTACTCCTTGTTGTTTTAGTTAAGTACCATTGAGTCAGTTCAGTGTGACTCACTGAGACCCCTTACAGGGTTTCCAAAGAGTGACTGGTGAGTGTGAACCAACAACCTTGTAGTTAGCAGTCTAGTGCTTATCACCACTCCTTAGTTTCATCTTAATCCTGTGTGAACAACTCACTTCAAAATGAGCTCATAATCACAAATACATTGTTATTGCTAAGTGACATCAAGTCACTTCTGACCCATAGCGACCCAGTATAGGGTTTCGAAGGGGTGGCTGGTGTGCTTGAACTGCCAACATGTGTTTCAAACCGACTTTGCAGTCTAGCGAATTACCTCGCAGCACCACACCAGGATTCAGTCACAGATACAGATGGTAGGAATTACAATACATCACAGAATGGAATAATACAACTGGAAGGGCCATAATTAATAATTAGTAACCCTGCAGATGTGTTCAAGGTCATAGATATGTTTTTAAGTTTTGAAAAGATAGACAGCAAGACGTCCACACTGCCAATTCCTTGGAAACCCTATACAGGGTGGCTATGAGTTGGAAATGAATCAACAGCAATTAACAACAACAAGTAAGTCTCATTCAGTGAAACGATGAAGACATTCTTCATGTTTTACAATCATTCTCATTCTCCTTTTGCAAATTGTTCTTCCAAAATAAAGATAAACTCACTGTTCCCTATCTGATCTTTCTAATTGCTGTTGTCTTATACTTTATCTCATATAATTCTTTAAAAGAGCACAATGCTAAAGGCAGACTTTCTATACTAATAACGCTAAACTACTGCTTTGTTTTAAGATACTTTGTTTTAGTTTCAGGTTTAAGGATTATTTCAAAGAAATAATTTCAACCTCGTATGGCTCCAGGAAGAATGAATCCCATAAGGATTTGAAATTATGTTCCTCATTTTGTTCAAGATTCTTGTATAGAATCTTTGATCAAAACGTTCAGTTTTGGGGCACCACCCAGTCCTTTTGGTTTTGTGGTAAAGGAGGCAGATCCTGGAGACTACTAGACCAACATCCCATGCCTACTCCTGTCCATACCTCCCCTTCTTCCTCTGTTGCTGCAAAGGAATAGAGAGGAATTAATGTACTTTAGATGGTAATTAACATACTTGTAAAACTTCAAGCACTAGGCAATGATCTAGAAGGTGAAACGTAAGCACCAAAAGCAAAATAGGCAGATTGACTGGGTGTCCCATGAAACACTATCTCTAAGTCTCAATACTAGAAAAACAAATCCCATGAGGTATTTGGTTGTACAGCAGCTGCTTATGTTGTTGCTATATGCAGTTGTGTTTTGAGAAAACCAACATTTTGGTGTAAAAATCCTACTTGTTTCCATTTCTTTCTTTCCCTAAAAAGTGAGATGTAGGTGAAAATATTTCAGTGAACTAATGGCTGCTTGTGATTTTGTGTATTGCAATGTGATTCATAGAACTATCATCTCAGTGAAGGCCAGGCCATTGGACATCATCATAAAGACATGCCCGCTTACATCCTTTGAGATAGCCCATTGGAGGTGGTCTCGTTTAGTTCAGCAGCCATCTTTAGAATTTAACTCAGTTGCAGGTGTTGTGCTTTCACAAAAGATAGAAAGATGAAGTGGAGTGGGCACTTCTTCATGGAGCTTATAAGTTAACAGGAAGGTCAGACACATAAATAGATGAGACTGGCATACTCCATTTAACATGTGATGAATGAATGTGCAGGGTGGTAACTAGAATACCGGGAGAGTCTCTCCATTCAGACTGACCAAGAAAGGCACTGGGGAGAAAAATGTTAGGAAGTGTAAGCTCGAGATCAAGACTGAAGGCTATATCCTTGCTCTAGGTCACACTGTGCCTGGGAACGCCTAGCTGGCCAGGGCACAAATTACATGGCACACAATGATGAGTGGTGAGTGTGCAGGAGACAGGTACCAAGAAATCCTAAGCTTCTTAGTACCTGTCTAGTAGGAAACAGGATGCCACTGAGTAGATTTAGGCAGCAGTCCATGGCTCTATTCATACTTTGTAAACCTCCTTTTGGGTGTTGTGTGGAAGATGGATTGGAGGGATGTTAGGAATACTAAGTGTTAAAGACCAGTTTTTAGTCTGTTGCCGTAGATCAGGCAGTAGTTCATGAGGTCCTGCCCAGAAGTCATTTGGTAAGAGTCAGAGCATGAAGGATATAGACAATATTTGTATTACTGCCTGAGTATACTTCATTGGGTGTTGTATCCAAACAAATGCAGAACAGAGAATACAGAGCAGTTTTTTTTTGTTGTTGGTTTTTTTTTCTTCTTCAGAAAGTTATAAGCAGCTGAAGCAGGGTTGATAATAAAGTATGACATTATAATACCCATTGTGGAGGATGCTGGCTTTAAGTACACGGGGGAGGGGACTACGTTACTCTGACACAATGACAGAAAGAACATAGCTTTAGGTGATGAAATTACACATATTAAATAGAGACACTATTTTAGGCACTACATTTGATGTGATGGGGAACCAAAAACAGATGGTATAACGCAATTTGCTGGACTATAGTTCTCCAAAACGAGGCTTAACTTAGAATTTGGAATCCGCAGTTGCCAAATGCTGACAGCTCACCCTCCCAGTTTCCCTGCATATTAATTTCATCTACTACAGTTGTTTAGGTTTTTAATTATAGAAGAAATCTAAATATATGGTAAAAATGTAAAGTTATAGCAGAGTATAAATTCAAAAGTGAATGTCTTCCTTTCCCAACGCCCATTTCTGTCTTATTCTTTAGGTATCACTACAATCTAGGTGGATGCTTTACACATTTTAATGAATATAAAGAATTCACACATATATACATCAGCAGTTTGAATACAACATCCAGTTGTTTGGGAGAAAGAAGAAGTTTTCTGCACTCATAAGGATTTACATCCTCAGACACCCTACATAGGATTATTACTAGTCACAGTTGGGTTGATGGCAGTGGATTTGTTTTAGTTTATATGTCATAGTATCATTCTTGTCATATGTGATTTGCAAAGAATCTCTCCAGTTTGTGCCTTCTATTTTCATTATTTTAAGATGAACTTTTGTGGAGCAGATAGTTTAAATGTTTATAAACTCCAATATCGATGGATTTTTCATAGATCACGATTTTGGTATTGAATGTAAGAAATCTTTGCTTAACCCAAAATCCAAAAGTTTCTTCCTATGACTTCTTGAAGTTTTATTCAAGGTTTTACCTTTATGTCTATGGTCCATAGTTTTAGTACAAGATGTGAGGCATGGGTAAATGTTTTTATTTATATATAGATGTCCAATTGTTCCACCACCATTTTTGGAAAAATTTAGTTTTGCACTTCTATTAAAAAAAAAATCAATAGAATATATGCATGTATCTTCACATATAGCTGGTTGAGTCTTAGTGTGTTACTTTAGGATAAGCACTGGATTGCTAACCACAAATCTGGTGGTTCAAACCCATCTTTTGCTCCTTGGAAACCCTATATGTGGTCGCTGTGAGTCCGAACCAACTCAATGGCACTTAACCATAATAGCAACACATACACCCACATGCACACACACATACATGCATGTGTTTATGTCTGGGCTGTATTAAATTTATTTTTTATTTATGTCTGCCTTGTCGTCAGTACTAAACTGCCTTAATTAATGTAGTATTTTAGTTAAGTCTTACTAACAACCTGGTGTGGCCCTGTAGGATAAGTACTCAACCTCCAGGTCAATTTGTTCCTTGAGGTCAGTGGCTGAAACTCATCAGCCTTCTGTATTATCTGCTTGCCTGCTGGAATGCTTGGCCTGCCAGACCCGCCTGCCAACAATCTAGGTTCTCCTGACCTGGATTTGGGACTCTTCCACCTTTACAATTGTGAGTCAGTCATTTCCTTGATAAAAACCTTTCTTTATATATGTTGTTGTTGTTGTTGTAAAGTGCCGTCGAGTCGGTTCTGACCCATAGCAACCCTGTATAGGATTTCTGAGGAGCGGCTGGTGAGCTTGAACCACCAACCTTACAGCTCAAACAACTTTACAGTCTGGCACATTAACCCACAGCACCACACCAGGACATATATACATATATAAGTCCCACTAGTTTTGCTTCTAGACATTTGCCAAGGATTTAATTTTACTTGGATCCAGAATTAACACCCATGGAAGCCATACTCAGAAAATTAAAGGATATAATTCACTGGGCAAATCTGCAAAAGATTTCTTTATTATATTAAAAAGCGAAGATATAAGTATGAAAACTAAGATATGCCTGACCCAAGTCATGGTATTTTCAAAAACCTCCTATGCATATGAGAGCTGGACACAAAAATGAAAGAATTGATACCTTGAATTATGAAAGAAGACTTGATACCTTGAATTTTGCTTTTGGTGAAGAGTATTAATTATATTATGGACTGCCAGAAGAGCAAACAAATCTTTATTAGAAGAAGTACAACATGAATGCTCCTTAGAAGCCAGGATGGTAAAGACTTTGCCTTGTGTTCTTTGGACATGCTATCATGTCCCTGGAGAAGGACATTGTGCTTGATCAAATAGAGGGTCAGTAAGAAGAGGATAATCCTGAATGTGATGGATTGACACAGTGGCTGCAACAATGGGCCCAAAC